ATATACAATTTATTTATTCTTTTTTATTTATTTATTTATTTATTTATTCTTTTTATTTTTATTTTTTTTATGTTTACCTGCTGTAATATAACAGGTGTTGAGCTTTTATTGGGCTGATTTTATATGCACTAATTTTCATTTCCTCTATCCTTATGTTCACAGTGCCTGCTGCTTTAACCATGGACCCCATCACTGCTCACCAGAGGCTCATATTGTCAGACGACTGCACCATCGTTGCATACGGGAACCTGCACCCGCAGCCCCTGCAGGATTCGCCGCGCCGCTTTGACGTTGAGGTGTCAGTGCTGGGAGCCGAGGGCTTCTCCGCGGGCGTCCACTACTGGGAAGTGATGGTTTCCGAGAAAACCCAGTGGATGATCGGTGTGGCCAACGAGACGGTCAACCGCAAGGGCAGCATTCAAATCCAACCCAGCCGAGGCTTCTACTGCATCGACATGCTTCTTTTTAGCAACATCATATGACCCCTTTAATATGTTAAGATCCAATTCATGACTTGATGCTGATAATTGAATTATTGAAAGTTTTATTCACATCCAAGGTGGTAATATGGCCAAAATGTTATTTTAATTTTAATTTTTATTATTTTTATATATTTTAAATATATTTTAAAAACAGATTTAAGTTTTTTTTATAAATATATTTATTTTTAGTTTTTATTCATTTTTATTTTTATTTTTATTTATTTATTTATTGTTATTTTTATTCTTATTTTATAGTTTTCATTAACATTTTGTATTTATTGATTTTTTTTTTTTGATTTCTTATATATATATATATATATATACAATTTATTTATTCATTTTTGTTTTAAGGCGTCCACTACTGGGAAGTGATGGTTTCCGAGAAAACCCAGTGGATGATCGGTGTGGCCAACGAGACGGTCAACCGCAAGGGCAGCATTCAAATCCAACCCAGCCGAGGCTTCTACTGCATCGTCATGCACGACGGTAACCAATACAGCGCTTGCACCGAGCCCTGGACGCGCCTCAACGTAAAGAGCAAACTCGAGAAAGTGGGCGTCTACTTGGACTACCCCAAAGGTTTGCTGGTTTTCTACAATGCCGATGACATGTCCTGGCTCTACACCTACCGAGAGAAGTTTCTAGCTAAACTTTATCCGTACTTCAGCCCCGGTCAAAGTCACGCCAATGGAAAAAACGTGCAGCCCTTGAGAATTAACACCGTACGTTTATAGGAACCCAGACAGCAGAAAAGTTTTGGGGATGAAAAGGAAGAAACTGAATACTAGGCTGTATAATAACGTTTCTTTTAATTTATCTGATGGATGGATTGTGACGGAAGGCTCTGTGGACACCTGGAGTTGGTAAATAAAATGGAGAGCCTTGCACTTTTCTGAGAGGTGCCTATGGGCATTTTTTACATTTTATTCTTGCTAGTCATTTGTAATCTTGCTGTGGCCGGCCTGCTTGCCCAAGATTTCCCAGCTGCTTATTATACACAATACCCCGACTTATATCCCTTCAGCCCCTGCAGGGTCCAAATGCTCCTTTCATGGCTCAAGTCTGGGAAAAAGAGCTTATCCGTTGTGCAGACAGAAATATGAAATGTGTTGCCTGTTTTTTTTGTGCAATAGACTTTGGCGTGTTTGTGGAGTGCGTCAAGCGTCGTACCGCTACTCGACACTGAGGTAGTGCTGTACGAACTTCTTGCTTTATTTTTTCTCAATAACTGCATGAACGGAGAGTGGAATATTATGTCCCTCAGGTCATGCTTATTCACGACGGTGACGGTGTTTGATGCAGTAATCAAGCTCCCAGATGCCCAGCGTGTTTCTGTACACGTGAATGATTGTGTATGTGTTTTTATCACCTTCTAATCGAGATTCAGGACTCGAATGCCGCTAACACATCTGCTGCTACTATAAAAAAGGGGTCATGACTTTGTGCATTTGTACATATCGCAGGAGAGCTTTGCTATATTGGTGAAAAATGTGTCCCTGCACCTTCCTTTTCCCTTTTGTTTGATATCACTTTTATTTATTCATCCTGTACTCACTTTCTAGAACATTCCAGTGTTTGGGGTCCCGGGACATCTCATTAGGATGGTTGAAGGGTCATCTGTCTGCTTTAACGTGTGTAATCAGGTGATAAGAGGGTGAAAGACATTTCCTTTTCCAAGAGATTGCATCTGTTGCTCTTTAGAAAAGTGTTGAAATAGCTGTATTTTTTTATATATATAAATCGAAATTATTTTCACGTAAATAAGGACTGGATCCAATTTTAATGACTTAAAAAAT